AATATGTATGTCGGCAAGTCCATAATGCAACATCTTACTTCATACTTTAAATACAATGATCTCTTTCAATTAATTTGTATTACTTTTACGAATTTGTTTATAGATTTTTATACTTGTATATTTTATTACCACATGAAAAATCTCTCTATGAATTTAACATTATTTAATCGTAATTTCTTGAACAAATAAAAAAAAGTATTATTGACTCAACATTTGTGTAAAAGCATTCAAATTCTTTCACATTTTTTAATTATTGCATTAAATTAAATACCTTAAAACTTAATTGAGAGTAATATTCAAGCATTTAAAAAATAAATCTCTTGTATGTATATTTCAATTATTTCATTTTATTAATTACCTTTTATCCTCATTGACAACACAAAGGCTGCAGGCAGCAAAGAGTTTAATAAACAGATCCCCGATGATTAAGACCTGATACACTTGGCCTTTGCATAGTGATCGCAAATGACTGAAAAATAAAATGAATTGCATTTAATTCAATAGTTCATATTTAGATTAAATAATACTTAGAGGCAAAAACATTGTTTCATCAAGGATTACAAAATTTATGATTGATCATTCATTCAGATCTCAAATATTCAAAATTTAGTAGTTGCTGAACAATTTCCATTCATTTATGATATGCAATGCCAAATTATAATAAAAAATTTCTATATTTTACTTTCCAAATACTAAAATATTTCATTAGTATTAATTGTAAATTATTTCATCACACACCTTATGGTCACTATTGCTGCCATGCAGGGATAATGTTGCTTCTAAAGCTCTGCCGTAGACAATGTCATTTTCGAATTCATTTGTCTTCCCTGAAATAAATTAATTTTGCATTTTCTAATGATTATATTAAAAACCAATCATTTCAGTAACTTAATAAATAAATTTAAGTTTGAAATAAAATCTTGGAAATAAATGTAGAAATAAACATTTGTTGATTTAATTGCAATAATGTACGTATACAGTTACATTTAAACACTAAATATTAACAATATTTTATTTAAAAATATCATTGCAATTTATATGAAAAATTACTCGTATTTTCTTTTCTTATAATTTGTTGTCAATTTTTATACTCATGTGTGTAATTATAACTATTTTATAATTACTAACCTGATTAGGCCCTTGGCAGAGCACGATGATGTTCAAACACTTTCCATCTTTACTAAATTCCATTGTCTATTTCGAAACCTTCACTGTAAAAGAAAATTGAATTTAAGAACTTCATAATAATAATAATAAAAAAAATATAAACTGTTTTATTTTGAATAAAATATTGAATTTAACTGTTGTACCTATCAAGAAGCACGAGAGCCTTCCATTCATTTTGAGAGTTGACCAAGAATTGCAGTAGCAGCCAGCTGCAGCATATTTCATAGCTGATGATGTTTTTCTAATATTCTTTGTTTTGCATTGCCGGTATTCTCTGTAAAAAAAAATTATTACATTAATTATTCAAATTTATATAAAAAATTACCGGCAAATTTTTTAAATCATTTATATTATTTGACTGCAATACTCAAGTAAATTAAATTTGTAATATAAATTCATCACTGATGAAATTTTTAAATATTATCAAGCAGTTTAACAATAACTTACCTATATTTGATTCAAAGTCTTTAATTAGGTAGCCATTTACTAGTAATTCTAGGATTTGAAATCATGCATCCTCTGATTTGCCTGGTTTTCTTCCAACAGTTCTCGTCTTGACGTGTTTAGTTATTCAAGCCAATCCATTTGCACCAAATGCACCAAAGGTATATTGTATTGTTCGAGTGAGGATTATTTCTGAAATAAAATAAATTCATTAAACTATTGTTATTTAAAGAGTAGAGTACATGAATTATTTTAAAAATTCGAGCTAAACATACCTAATTTAATAAAAGCAGCAGCCTCTTTGAAATCCTACGGCAAGAATACATTGGTTCCATTCTTTGAAATGGTTCTCTTCAGTTAGGGCCCACGATTGCTTTTCACGTTATTTTCTTCAGGAATGCACATATTACCCAATATGCATGTCGACAAGTCCACATTGTTTGATTCAATGTACGATTTTTAGAGCATCACCCTTGTTATTTCTTTCAAGAATGCACATGTTCCACAATATGTATATCGGCAAGTCCATATTGTTTCATTCACTGTAGGAATTGTAGAGCATCTATCCCACAATATGTATGTCGGCAAGTCCATAATGCCACATCGTTAAGCGCGGTAGTCCGGCACTTGTGAATTTCCAAGTTAAATAAATGTTTGTTATGAATCATTTGCCACAACAAGCATTTCAATGTCGATCTCAAAGATTTCCCAAACAGTTTTTATGTATTATTCATAATGCAAACGACGATTTGTTCAAATCATGATGTTGCTTCTAGTGTGTATTAGCAGAAAAATCAACTGTAAGACATGTGAGTAAATGTCATCTATTTAAAAATATCAGTGGATTGCAATTTCCTTCAATCTAGAAATTGAAAACTGTCAAATTAATATAAACCTAAAATAATTTTCAATGTAAATATTTCAAACAAATTAAGAAAATTCAACAACATTGAATTTTTAACTTATAAAGTTTTTACGAGATAATGTTTGCCATTCACATATAAAAATATATTACTTTGAATATTGTAGGTTAGAATAGTGAATGTTGTCAGCTAGTAATATAATAAAATCAATGTACCTAAATATACTTTACAATTATAACTGTAGCTAACAAATTGAATGGCAAACTCACTCAGTATATTGTCTAGGAACTCACTTTTCAATTTTTCAAGAATCAATGAATTAAAAATTTCAAGTGAAATTAAATTTGATTTTCATGAGCAAAGAATAAAGATAAATGAATGTTTGTTAGCATATTGATAAGAGGTACCATACATTCCAACAACATAGAACATTTTATATTATTCGCTTGAAATTGTTCAATTTCAGGCATTATTCAATTAAATTGTTAATTATATAAAATGTAGAACAGATTATATAAAAATAAATTGCTAGTTCAAAATTGCAAAATCATAATATATAGATGGTGTCTTTTGCCTATCGATCATTTTGGCTTTTTTTTTTGAACAGTTAATAAAATTAATTTATTAAATATTATCAAAATCACTAGAAATAAAATCAAGCATGAATGAAAAATATACAAGTAAAAAGTAAAATCTTTTGCTAATGCCAATGAAAGAATTTTCATTTGTATTTTTATCAAAACTTTATGATTTGAAATTCAAATATGATTCAACAGTAGACTGAGTTTGCATTCATATTTAATAATTCATATCATTATTTGATACAAATTCATAAATATTAAAACAGTTATAAAACTTGTATGATTTCATCAAATTTGTATGCAACGTGCACGTCATTCAATGTAGGCTTGCAGTTTTTAGTTTTTCATTCACATTAATTACATTTATCAAATGCTATTAAACTTTCAATAAAGATGATACATTTTGTAGCACTTAAAAAATGTGTTCAAGTGTATTGCAATAACAATATCAATTTCATCTATATAAATCTGGCTCTTCGAAATTGTTGTACATTGTTCAATTTTGTACAGATTTCCCAAAATATATCTTATTGAAATAATTGACATTATTTATATTAATGCAAAAAGTTCATATGTAAAAATTATGTTTTAGTAAAAATGCATTGTGAGCATAAATCAATTGCATATTTAATATTCATTTTGAAGTAAATCGAGTTGCTGTTTACAACTGTTTAAAAATAATCGTGTAAGATTAATGTATGTTACTCACATTCATTTTTAAAGTGACAAATTTGCTAAGTATGTAATGAATTTAAACAGACAAGGTACATTATTACCACTATTGAATGAAACAAAATTAAATGAAAATAAATTTACAAATTAATTTTGGTTCGTCATTTCAAATATGTATAAACAAACGAATATGAAGTTATGAAATTGCAATTTGTATTTGATTCTTCAATATTCAAAATTGATATTATAAACTCTACTCAATTGTGCAAATAAAGAATTCATAATGTATTTTTAATTTCAATAAGCAATTACATCTTGCACGATAAGCACAAAAGCTCGTCATATGTAAAAAATTTATTGATTTATGAAATTTGAAAAAAATAAATGATAAAAATAGTTTAATTTCTTTAAGTTGCATCATAACTTTTGTAATTTTCGCATTTATAGCAAAATTATTAGACTGTACACAGTCTCTAATCTCCATATTGGCAACAAGCAGATATGTTGTGAAAATAAATAAATTGATTTTTCTAGTGATTCAAATTTGTCATCGGATTCCAAATGTTCTAACTTTCCTCGAGGTCTGAAACTACACCACGTGTTTGCATTGAATTGCTTTTCAAACATGATATACAATAAAATCTAATCATATCATTCGGAATACTGCCAAAAGTTTCTTCTTTCTCCATATTCTCAAATATTTTTAAATTTCACAATGAAAAAATTAGTTGCACATATGAATAGAATCAAAGCTAATGAAAAAAAATTAAACGGAACAATTCTTATATTCTAATATAAAATTTGAAAACAATTTAATCGAAGCAAATACTAATATTGGGTCTATTGTTTAATTAATAACTACTCAGTAATATTATTGTGAAATAAACAAATACTGAATGAATAGAAAAGGCGTACAGATATTTAAAACATTTAACTAATTCATAAAAAGAAACCAATTTGCAAGAAAGCATCAAAATAAAAGGCTAAATCGCGAATTCCTTAACAAATTCATAAAAGAAAACTAATTTGTATGAAACTAACTTAATAAAAGTGTGAAAACTTTTAGAGAAATTAGGAATCATTTACATGTAATGGAAATATGCCAATGTTATCAGCTATAAATAACATTATAAGACAATAGCGTAAACATGATTAAATTGAAATAAATACGTGTTATTGGCTTCACTGCTTGAAATCAATCATATTTCCGCGAATTTAGTGTGATTGTATTATATATGAGCATGCCATTTAAATAAATATCACTTACCACAGCGCCTTACAATCATTCTTGATTAGCTGGAAGTCAGCATCCATACTCCGATAATAAAAACTCCTTGGAATGTATCACAAAAATCACTTCACACACAAAACTTTGACATTGTAATAATACTATTTTCTAATAAACACTACAGCAATTGAAATTTGAACAAATATCAGTTTGCAAGACTCCAAAGAGGTTTAAAGTATTAACATGACGCCAATTGGACAAACATCTGAAAAAAATAATAATTATTATAAATCAATATAATAGATCAAATTAATTTTTATTCACAAATACTCAATCCAAATGCATATAAATTGCCAGTAGCCTGATGTGCTGAAGAGACACAGGTTGTTCAGTGAATAAATGTACTAAATATAATGTAAAACAATAATCAAATCAATCCCAATTTCTTTAAATAATACATATTTACAAAATTTGTGAAATAAGTGTAATATTTTTAAGATCTATATGATTTTATTAACTACAACCAAATGAAACCATACAACAAAATAATAGTATAATTACCTTAACTTCAAATTTCTGATACGCTTCTCAGGATTCCAATAGTCTTCTAAATACAAATGCGTAACAATTCAATGTACTTGGCTTCAGGTAAAATCTGCAAAATAGTATAATACTAATAATAGATATATAACTATCAAATTCATTCATATCAAGAGACTGTGGAAAGAAAAGTTTGTATGTTATTGTGCTTAGCTAAAAGAATATTGTTGCCAGAATTGAGTTGGCTAGTTGATGGTGACGAAGAACTATTTCATCATGAATTAAAGTGTTGTGGGGCTCTTTACATCTATAGCAAGCACCTTCAAAACTACACCTCTTAGCATCATGTTCAGGAAGTAAACAACAAGTGCACAGTGAATGCTTTAACACCAGATCCTTGCGCCCTGAAATCTCCAACTCCTTAAACTTGGAACATTTGTACAATGGATGACTTCCCTTACAACAACAACACGGAGATACTACTCTTTTCACTGTACTAACATGAACCATTTTAGAATTTTCCTGAATGGGTCTACTTTCTAATTTGAATGAGTTCTCTAAGGCACAAACCCGCAGCTCCAGAAAGGAAAAAAATTGATTTACCGTTAGAAGAACTTTCCATTCCTGGACAAATTCCATGCCATGCCATACGAGTATGGCTGTCAACCTTCTTGTTCAGCATATACAACAGAATAAGATCCTAATGTTTAGTTGGTTCATATACAGTTGAAAGAGCACGTATTTGTTGCCTCGCACTTTGTGCCTGTTCCTTTGTGTATCTGTGGTATGTTGTCGATCTGCTGCAAATGGGAATTCAGTATTTAAAATTTAATGTCATAAGTCTTACACAGTAGCTCATAGGCCGTCTTCAGTGTAAATCTCATTCGTTAAGCTTAAAGATGATATTAGTTTTGCAGCAGACGATAGTAGAGCTCCCTTTAGAGAGTGCAACTTTTGGACTTGCAGCAACTTTGTGTTATTGTGAATTAACAAGGTATAAAGATCTAATAAATTGGGTCCACTCACTATAATCACCGTTGAACTTGGGTAACGTGATCTCTGGTAACTTTACATCTAATGCTGGATTTGAATCTACCGACCTAGACAGTGATAGGGTACTAATATTCGTAAGAGCATTTAAACGTGACATATGCTAAATAACATGTACTTTAATTAACTCATTCTATTTGTACCTTACCTTACAAGTTACAATTGTCGTAAATACCGCTTTCACGCCACTCCGGTGCTCCAAACCCTTGTATGACAGTGTCTTGTGTTGTTATTGTATAAGGTGCGACATAGCCTTCTGTGCCAGGTGTGCTCCAATTCTCAGATGAGCCCCAGTAACGCGAATAACAGCGATGACAAACTCTGGAGCCTCGTGCGCCTAACTTCTTCTCAAATGAAATCTATCTCCAACAAGTACCAACAGCAACTCCGAAAATATGTATGAAGTGAGACAACACTACTGGCACCTGTCGTTTTGGCAGCAAGTTGCATGCTTCCCCGATGCCTGTACATAATCGACAGAGTCAATATTAATTCAAATTTAACTATAATTACATGATACAATTTTCAACTATTTATTTTAAAAATTAAAAAGGTTTTCGTTTACACTAAAGACGCTTTTAAATGTCCTGTACTTTAATGCATTTTTATAATCCAATCACGAATGCAGTGTATAATAAGTACTTCTTATAAAAAAAAGTAAATAAATAATTACCATTACATTTTTCCTGACTGAAATTAGAATTTTCTTGTTGAATATTATAACAGTATAACAATTTATTAGAACATCATATGTTTAACATATGTGTGACAAATTAAGTTTTCAGTTAATAGATAATTCAGTTAAAAACAATTAATAAATTATGTTCATATCAATGAATTTTGAGAGCTAAAATTTTAAATATTATCATTGAAAATAATTAAAAGTAATCTAACAAATTGAGAATATGACTGTCTATATATAAAGATAGTCACAGTTAAACTAATGTTCAATTTATATATAATTATAAATTAAAAAATAGTCTTTTTAAATATTATCCAACATAAAAAAGTGTAATACAAGCAAAAATAAAATTATATACTTATCTTTTATCGTGCCACAACTGGATAGTTCTGTCAAGAGCGTCCTTTGCCTGTAATTGTAATGCAACACTCAACTAAAATTAAATTAATTACATTATATTACAACATTCATATATAAATGATGCACAAAACACATATCTCTTAAGGGAAACTATTCATTAACAATTTATTATAAACGATAAACAATGCAAAATTAATTTAATATAAAAGAATCATCGATACCCAAATCGCACCACTGAAAGCAGTTTCAATGTGCTGGCATATTTTAACAATAATTTGTTAAAAGCTTTTGTTGAAATTATGCTAAAAATACTGCTGCTTCCTGTTATTGTTTTAAAAATGCTCTATAAATATAAAACTAAAAAACATAAAACTGTGCCAGTATTCATAATGACTATATCATTGGGATTGTTTCCACAACTATACAGCACCCTATTTTAATAATAAAACCATATTGTTTAAATAATTAATTTAAAATCATTAATATAATTCATTAAGACAATATGCTATTAAGCATACACTAGATTACTGTGTTATATTATTAAGAAACGATGCTGTAAGTATGTCAGATTTATTAGATTTACTCACCGTATTAACAAATACTTCTTTGTGACAACAATATTAATAGGTTGTAAAATATTATAGCTGAAGACACCTAGTGTAGTATTTGCCAAATGACCTAACGGTCGAAGGCCTAATAAATAAATAAATAAATAAGACACCTAGTGCAATGGCTCAGCTTAAGACTCCGCAACTCGCAATCATATAGTAGACAGTTGCATAATGGTTAATATTATTTGTATAAATCACTGTAATAATAATAAATTATATAAAATTACAAGATGTAACAAAAATAAATATTTACATAAACATTCATCTATTCATCAACTAGATTGACTTTCATACTGATATCCAAAATAAATACTATTAATGTAAATTATTGTAATACAGTGACTTTACCTCAGCGACTATATTTTTCCCGCTTTAGTATATTTGTTACTCGAAGAACAAAGAACAAAACTAGACAAGGAATTTATCATCTTATTATAAGGGCTTATTCAAAATTTCCAGTTGTACATTGTACAATAATTTTTACTGTCGAATACATTTTAAATTATAATCAAATGTGCAGGGCAAAGTTCATGTAACATATGTTAACGCATACATTCATATTTAAGCATATAAATAGATAAATAATTCATGAAAAAAGCATTATAAACCAATATATCTTACCATCTGATTGTAATTTTGTTATAAAGGTTTTGCTTGAAGAATTTAATTGAATATTATAAAATAATTGAGATTATATATATATATATATATATATATATATATATATTTCTTTTTTTGAATAGTCTTGAATTTGATGTTGATATAATATGTTTAATTTGAGTTAAAAAGTCGGGCATTACATCAATAAAAATAATATTTATATTTATATAGTATTAGAGTCTTTAGAAATTTTATTTAAAATCCATATGTTTCGGTTAGCATCTTAGCCTTCATTCAGTGGCAATCAATTTATCTATAAAAATTAAAACTAAATAATTATTTATTTAAATGAAATTTTATCGGAAATTAATATATATATATATATATATATATATATATATATATATATATATATGTATATTATATTAAATGTTAAATATGATCCGCTTTATTAAAATTATAACATTATAACAATTGGTGGGTTATGCATACAACATGTATGCAATAACCTGCAATAAAGTGAAATAATTAAAAATAATTAATAAATTTTGTTCTTTTCAAATAACTTATAAATTTTGAGAGTTAATCAACATAGAATAAATAATTATTAGGGAACATTTTATAACCATCCGTTGTATTTAATTGAATTTGTAATATAATTTATAGCGTTTATATGTTCAATTAAATATAATTAAATTTTCAAAAAGACCTATTATTAAATATTATCCAAAAAAGAAGTATAATGCAAGTAAAAAAAAAAATCATATACTCATCTTTTATCGTGCCACAGCTGAGAGTTCTGTCAAGAACTATCCTTATTGCTGGTATATAAGGTTTGGATTCGCATTGCTAAAATTAAATTAATTACAAGAAATTACAACATTCATATAAATGATGCTCAAAATACATGCTATGGCAAATCATCTTATTAATCCCTTAAGAAAAACTATTCATTAATATACAAGTAATTAATAAAAAATGCAAAATTAATTTAATATAAAAGAATCATTTATACCCAAATTTTCTCGCTGAAAGCAGTTTCAATGTTCTCAAGCATTTCAACTTTTTACAATGCAAATGCAATTATATATTTTATATTGTGATTCATGCAAATTGTGACTCCCTTTGCAATTAAAACAAATTTCTGTAGAAAAACAATCACTGATATCATCCGTGAAATTCAAACTCATCTGGTTCGAACAACTTCATCAATTCCGAAAATTCGGAGGTAATTATTAATCAAGTTATATTATTCAAATCATAATTCATCATAAACCTATGTCTATATGACGGCGCAATGTTCGAATTCTCAGCGGGTTCTGGATCAACAACAAACAAAGGATGATTTTTTGTAGTCATATTTTGCAGAATAAGATATGTTGTAGATTATATTAACCAATTATTGCGTCCACTTATTCTTGTCCACTGAAGCACAAAATGTTTGAAAAATATTTGACAGTAACGGGAACACGGGGGAACACGAGCTACCGTTTTGAACGTCACAGCGGCATCCATAGCATCTTTAAACGGGAGACTAGAGGGGACTAGAACCCTAGACTACTAGACTAGAACACTGTGGATTGTGCCACAAGTGCATCACAGGTGCATCACTCTTCTTTTATCTATGAGTGCATCCTCTGTGTGCCTGTGTCTACATCGTCTTGTTGACATGCATTGGCAATGGGCAAACAGGCATAACATGTGTTGATACTATCTGGTAACACATCTGTCAAAATTGTACATTCTGAAAAAGTTTTATCGTTTCAAACATTGTTTCGGATGTCTTTTTATTGTTTGACGCTTTCATTTTTGACTTGAAATTGATGATTTTGTTTTTATGTGTATATTTTATAGATATTAAGTTATATAAATATGGTTAAATCACGTTCGAGATCATTGTCGCCCAGACGTCGAGACCGTGAACGAGAACGAGAACGGGAAAGAATTCGAGATCGAGATCGAGATGATCGCAACGACCGCGAACGAGACCGCAGGCGAAAGCGAGAACGCTCAAGGGATCGTTCAAGGGACAGGCGTCGAAAATCAGCAGAAAGAAATAGACGGAGATCTAGATCTAGATCACGTTCTGAATCTCGAAGTACAAGAGACAGAAAATCTCACGTTCAAGTTGGTGACAGGCCTCGAATCACAGAAGCTGATCTAGAAGGTAAAACTCCCGATGAACAAGAAATGATGAAGACGATGGGTTTTTGTGGTTTTGATACAACTAAAGGTAAAAAAGTGCAAGGAAACAATGTTGGAGATGTACATGTTATTTTAAAGCGTAAATACCGGCAATACATGAATCGTAAAGGAGGCTTTAACAGACCATTAGATTTTGTTGCATAGTGCAATCTCACGAACTATTATATACCTATACCATATCACCTCAACTATCAGGAACTAATGACCTCAGTATCATTTACAGATACTACAAGTAACGTAACATAACAGTTATCCTCAAATTTGTTGTAAATCTCGACATATTTTTATTATAATATGTTCTAATTATAAGATACATATTGTAAAACTTGATACAAATGTATAAAATTTAATAATTATGTAATAAAGTAATTATTGTATAAATTGTTTCAGTTTAAACAAGTTTAGTATTACTTCAATTATCTGACAAACTATTTTCAATAACGCATTCAGCTTCTGGTTCACTTATTGTACTGTTCTCTGAAATTGTTACTGTTTCCTCTTCAACCATGCTACTCTGAACAGTTTGCAATGTTTGTAAATGTTAGCAAAAATCTTGAGTTGCCCCAATGTTTAGAGCTGCACTTAAAGTGGCCGAAAGTATAGTAAAATTTTCTGTTGTATAATTAATTATGTTAATAATTATAATTTGGATTATAAAGCTAAAAATAAACCATGGTGAAAGTATTTGCTTTCGACAACAATTCTATCACACTTTTTTTTTAATTTTTCAACATGTGAAATTCATCTATAAACAGTACCACATAATTTTGTTCCTGCGAGCTTTACTGCTTTGTCAAACCTTAATCAATTGAAATATTTAAACGCACATATGATAAATAATTCATATTGCATATAATTATAATAAATAACTTACCTTGTTCTTACAACTACTGCTGCTGACTCAGTAACTCTCCTAGTAAAATATTTGGAGACATTGGATAATGTTTTATTTAAGCTTTGCAAGGTCTTAAACAAAATGTCTGTCTATATGCTATTTGGTATTTGTGAATTACTCAATGAATTAAATATTATTATTATGTCACACATATGAGTACAAATTGAGTATTCCTTTCCCTGAAAATAACCATCATCACCAAAATTTGAAATTAAACTTAAATTTTGCCTCTTAAATGGTAACCGTACAATATCAATTCAAATATTGAACAACATAATCTATTTGATTAAGTTCTTCTCTAATATTTTGATTATGATCAAAATTGAACATAATTCCAAATATTTATGATAATTTGAATTTTTTTTATTTATTCATATTTAAGAGATCTTATTTAATAATATCACAAGTCCTCTAGACTTATCAATGATACATAGAAAAAACTTCTCATTCTTATCAGCTGGTTCTCTTCTCGCGTTTTAATTTTCATCATTACTAGATTTCTTATCACAGCTTTTTGAAATAGCATCTAATAGCATAGTTCTTTCAATTTTTGACTTGTATAAAATTGAAGATTTATTATTTTTCAACTATACAATTCATTTTATTGTTTGGAATTTTGTAATAAATAAACTTTTATTTTTCATAAATGTTATTGTTGATTCATTTTCATTATTTATCTATAATTTCACCTCTACTCATACAAATTTATTGATTAATCTTAATTGTGTTGATCCCTATGAATCGACATTCTTCATCTTGCTGCAGAAATTATTGAAAATTTGTAGAATAATTTTTCTGTTGCCAGAAAATGAGATCAAAATTTAAAGTAACTGTTAAAATCAACTATGGTATATTCAACATAGTAGTATTGGCAGTCTGTTCAATTTGAAATAGCAGTGTAGTTTGGAACTTTCAGATTACATTATATTGACTGAATTCCGACCTAATATACTAAAAATCAGTTCTGTCAAACGATAATAAGCCACACTCAGTGTTTGAAGCAAGCGCTCAAAATAAACTAATTGGTAACTTGCAGACACTACTTCTCTCATCAGACATTGAAGTTAAATCTCAAAAAATAAGTTTTCACCTAACTTACGGTTTTCACCTTAGTTAAGTTGTCATGGCGTTGGTACAGAACGAACGTTTTTTGAATCATTCACATCGGTTGACTTATTCCCTTTGCTTACAGGGAATCTTGAATGTGAATCTTGTAAGCATTTTTAACATTCTTAGATATTAAATAAATCATTTTCTGCTTCACCAAAAACAAAAACAACACTTCTTGAACCATATTTATTAATAAGGTTTTGGTCATTTTTGGTCACCAATCTGTAAGTACATGAAGCTTGAAATTATACATGTAATTGTTTCTTCAATACAATTGATTTAAATTGAAAATTTCTTATTACCATAGGTCTTTTAGCTTTCCTGCATACTGACTCTCCCTGTATCTTCTCTTCTCGTCATATATAATATGTCATTGAACATTTCTATTCTTCTTTTTCCTAGCCCTATCAGCCCTTCTATTTGCCTCGTGCAACATGTATTCTTTTTGCAATATAGGTCTGTTCCAGTTTCCTTTTCTTTTTATTATCGTGCCCAAGAAAGTTCTTTCTTCGCTTACTCTTCTCAGTATCTCTGTACTTAAATGTGTTCATTTCTGAAATATATACATTGCTAAATTTTCTATCACCTAATTCTTCTTTAATATTTGTGTCCCTGAATACAATATACCTTAGATAATTCTAATCTCACAAAATTTATGGTTTAGAAATGTTGACAACTTGATCAATTTTCAATGAATTTTGATAAATTTTTTTTTATTATCAAATTTAAAGCCTTACTATTTTTTCAGCTAGGTTCGAAACTCAACGTCGATCAAATGGAATAACCTTTACAAAAAGCCTTTACTGCACCCAATCGGTTGAAATCTGTCAAAGTTATACAATGTTTCCATTGATCACATATTGATGGCGCACACTGTATAATATATTACCTAAAGTAAATATCTAATAAAGCGGAATACTGTTCCCCCTGTTCCCCCTGTTCCCTTTTTAATAGATCTCTCTGGATAGTTTTTACATCCAAGAAAGACAGCTTTATCAAACTCTAAATTTGCTTAAATGCAAATTATGCTGAAATGCAAACCGATGTAGACTGTGATGATAGGATGATAGTTTATTGTTTTCTGCTACGATGTTTAACATCTATTATATTAAAAATCAATCTGACGGACACAGCAAATCTATCTATTCTTTTAAATCATAAACGGTTTTAACAACAGCTTTACCCTCGGCGCTAAAGTCCATTACACAAATTATATTAGTTTTATACATTCATCTAACAATAAGTAATTTACATCTAAATTCCATCCATATTTTGAATGCTACTAAAAAGTTTAAACAAGCCTCTGTAAGTAAACTTGAAATAAAAATGAGTTACAATTAGAGTTATATATTGAATATATATTATTCAATAATCATAATATATTATTATACAAATTGCAGCTTCATCAATATAATAAAATCTATTTAAAATAACGGAACTAAATACTAAGTTTTACTTATATTAAAAATGATCTGTTTCAAAAGCTTGTTTTATATAATTTTAATGCGTTGCAAAATCACAATTTATAAAATAAAAGATATAAACAATATTTGCGATCAATTTATAAATCATCGCAAAAGTATAACTATTATTCACAAAAACATTATATTTAAAACAAACCAATGGCAATTATATAACAATTTCATTGGAAAATTAAATTGGGCATTTGCATGTTAATAGTTCTTACAACAGAAAATAATTAACATGCATTGTGAAATAAATAAAATGAGAAATGTGGTTATCAATATCATGGCAATATTTTGTTATTTACATTATATTAATTTGTTTTCATATGTAAAAAAGTTAAATCAAGAATAATTTTATATACTTTTTAATATAAAGGAAATACAATGTGAAACGAAACTTAGCACATTTGCATTTCTCCTGGAAGTAGCGGATGCATCAACTCGAAATCAAAAATATTGGGTTTAAGTAATGTAAGTATTCCATTTTAACAAATTGAAAAGAAAAAACAGTTTATATCTATCAATCGTTTTGACTTTAAAATGAAATACTTGAAAATTAGCAATTTAAAGAACACACGTGAGTTACGATGAATTTTCGTCTCTAAATTATCTTTTTCAAGTAAATAACACATAATATTTAATATTTTGCAATTATTAGCTTTTCATCAGTTGGTGTCACATCATTTTATTCTCTTTCAATTCATAGATAATGTTGATGATGATAATTTCAAATAATAAAAAAAACACAAATTATTAAATCTATTTCAGATGTATTCCCAAATTTGTTTAGCGCAATAATTTGTTCAGTAGAGCAGAGGTTGCTCAAGTCGTATATTTAAATTAGATAATCTATGGCCTTTATTGAAATTATATTTAGTTGGCTTTTGATTAACAGTCATTGTTGTTTTATTGAAATAGCCTAAATTATCAATAGAAACGTCACTACTTAGCTACTTTTCCAAACTATTTGATTATTTCTGTTTCACAGAGTTGGACAGCCTTCTATTTGTAAACGTTTACTTAGCCAACTAAATATGTAGTTCTATTAAGCAGCAATGAATGATAGCACGATTTCAGCAACCTTACTCTACATGTCACCGATCTTATTGTTAGGGTTTTTTTTTTCTCGACTTCAATATTGGTCGTGTGACAGTCAATATAATAGGAATAACAATGCCAAATGAAAAGTATTCTCACATCTCATTTCGACGATACAAAAACGTAATCACTGTGTTCGAATCATAAGTGCTGATAATCCTGCACCATTGAATCGGAATAGAAACTGCCGAGGGTCAGGCCGCTCGATGCCATCGCACTGAGGCTGACGTGCGGCGAGGCGGAGGCGCCGCCGTGCGAGGTCAAGATGCCGCCGTTCGGCTGCTGCTGATGGTACAGGGAGGGCATCGAAGACAACCGGTGACCGGAACTCTTCAGGTCCGAAGGGGAGTGCGGCAGGTGGCCCTCCATTTCGCTATCACTGGAGGAATCGAGCTGCTTCACGTCCCCCGGTATGCTGAAACCGGAAAACATTTTCAACAGTTTCTTTATTTCAACAATAATTACAATCTTAATCTATCAATTCATGAAGACATTTACAATTGTTGATACTTATTGATAAAACTTGTTTTATGTCGTGTCTTTCGATATATTCCATTTTCCATTCGCATATCGCATATCGCATACGGAATACAATTTTGGGATTTCCGTCATCCTTAAAAAAATATATACAAATTACAAATTACAAATACACCTTAGTTCAGTATCAACTTGCTGGAATCTTTCATGCTAATTTACCATCCTTACTGTTACCTGTATATTTTTGCTAATCACATTGTCATTCATAAAGAATAATCGTAAACGTTTCAACTTATTTCAATGTCGAATTCCTATTATAAAACAAGAAGTTCGACGATAAAGGGACCAATGTTCAAACTTCCAATTTCTTTTAACACGATTGACGCCTAGCAGTATAACTTTTATTCTACTCCCAATACAGATTAGAAAAGTGATAGTCAATTTCACAGCACAATCGTCAAATTCTTAAAAGCCCACAATTTCTACGATATTTCAGAATATGTCAATAAAACAATATTATGCAAATAGACTGCCTACAAATAATACTTTCTTTTCTCCCGACAGTTCCATTTTTTCTATTTCTCCTATTTTCGTATTTAAAATTATTTTAACATTTTCTTTTTAGTTTTTTTATCACCATAATACATTTATTATATATTTCGATATCATTAAACTTAATTACCGTCAAAAGAATCTCAAGACATTTATCTATTTTTTGAATATTAAACATTTCATTATCGTTCTTTAAACAATGTACAGGCATACCCCGTTTAACGCGGGATATACGTTCCATAAAAGTAGAGCGCAATGCGAAACCGCTTTAAACGAAACTATCTTTACATGGAAATATTGGAGTCAGGGGAAGACGGCTAGAAAATTGGTTCGGTATTAAATTTAAAAAGTATGTTATTTTTACTTAAAATAAGACCAAACATTTATTTCTTAAAGCGCAAATTAATACCACATTATCATTTCTTGCAAAAATCAAAACAAAATATAAATAACAAAACGAATATTCTTAGAAAAACAAATAACATTCTAAGTCAGTCATATTTAGTTAGTCTTCTGCCTTTTTGTGACAAAAGCATCTAATGTTGTTCGACATTTTCTTTTGCGTTGTTCTGTTAAAAGTTTATCATAAACGGATAGAGCATCTCTAACACCACGCTTTACTTTGGAGCTCCTGTCAAAATTCGGATCATTTTCAATGAACTGATCAATTATTTCAGTTCTACCGTAACTACGTTAGAACACCATCAAAAGTTCTTTTTGCTTTTCCGCTGAATCACTGCTGTCAACATTTTTGTTTTCTTCTTGTTTTGTTCATTCCTTGAGCTCACCATTAGAAAGTCTGCGCTGCTTCTTGAATTATTTCTTCAACATCTTCATCATTTATCTTCAATTATTTACCTTCAAAACTTGGCTTGAAATAAAAGAGCACTAAACAGAAACAGCGCTAAACGATATGGCGTTAAACGGACGTATTACTGTATCAAGGTTTGCATTGCATAGTTATATTATATAGCTTTAGGCTTAATATCGTTTAAGCTTTGTGTTTTACTGTAATTAATTTCATTTAGTTAATTTGCTGTTACTGTAATAAGTCTAATCCTGTATCCAACATATATGAAATATATTTATTGTTTATCCGAAGGGCTGATAGATTATGTAGCTCTATCAACCGTTATTTTGTTATACAGATATAATTCAACTAAATTTTACACCTTTTCAATGACTTCAAATATATTATTGAAAACTTACTAATGCGACTATACTGTCTAGTTATATTTACTTGATGATGTCCGTTAGTTGAACATTTAGTAATTAGCAGCTGAATAGATGTAGTCAGGTATTGAATATAATAACTAAATGGCATTAACAATTGTTTCAATAGTTTTTTTTTTACTCAACGTTTGTCCCTTTCTTAAATATTTTACTGTAAACCTAAAAATTTTTACTGTAAAATTTAAATTGAAAAATTGAAACTTATTAAATACAATTTGAAATTATACGAGGAACCTGATTTGTTGGATTTTATTTGATATTCTTTCGATATATTATATTTCATATATATATATATATATATATATATATATATATATATATATATATATATATATATATATATATATATATATATATATATATATATATGACTCCGAATAGTAAATACATAGTTTCGACAACTTATTATTCATGTTTATTTGTGTGTTTTGCAATTTGTGATGTTAAAAACATATATTGTACCACTGTGCACATACTCATACAAATGGTACCCTACTATAACAGATGAAAACATTATTAATCCATAGCATGATACCATGGATTAATAGTAATTTCATCTGTTATATTAGCATACACAATTTTAAATTGATTGCCACTGAATAAGGCTAAGATGCTAGTCGAAACGTATGGATTTTAAATAAATCTCTAAAAACTCTCATACTACTTTTTATTGATGTATGTATGATGTAACGCCCGACTTTTAAACTCAATATATATATATTTGGAAGGTGCATGAAAACATACAATAAAAAGGTTTTCGTCCAGCGGTTCCTGTTCTATTTCGAATATAACTTTAAATTATGTTCATAAGTTTAATAATATTTAAAAAAACTATATATAACACAACCTTAGTTAATGTATTTTAAATATTAAGCTTAAACTAAGTTTTGACTGATGAAATTAATATCCATTAAGTTGCTTTTAAATTTCACTTAAAAATCTTAAACAATTATCAATAAATGTTGTAATAATTTGAAAATTGAATTGGTATATCAATAATCCATGAAGTTGTGTATAAATTTTACTATGTAGATTAATTTTATTAATATAATTTATTGATCAATACTTGTTAACAAGCATTTCCAAGTAAGTATACATCTCTGATATAACATTCAAATATCGACTGTCGACACTCTTATGTGATGTCAAAAATTATGTTTGTACTTGTTTTCGTTTTGACAATAAAAGCCCTTGGCAGGGGATGATCCGTTGCAATTTGATGTATGGACCTAGTTAACAAACTAACGAGGACCAGGGGTACCGATCCTAGAATTATAATAGATATGTAACATTTCACTGCAGCATAACATTTCAGAAACAAATTAAGCTCATTGTGTATTTTCATTATTGATAGGGAACTTGGCTTAAAATTATTTTCGAATGAATAACTATTATTCAATCATTTCTCCTTCGTTTTTCGATTTCGATTTGGAGTTATTTTGTCCAAATTATTAAATAACTTTAGGGTAGAAGTTCAAAATGTAGCATTTGAGCAACTTTAAGTTTCAGAATATGTATTATGTAAATTCCGTGTTAGTTATAAATTTTGATTTTCAATCAAACAAGCTTGGAAACGTATTTGGAAACATAACATTTAGTGAATGGTAATAAAGGTCCAAAAATCAAAAAAGTTGTCTGTTTGTGTCAAGCTGCAAGAAAACGAAGAAAAAGAAAATAACAAAAAAATCGCCAATCTAGAAATTTTCTGCGTGAATTGAAATGTTATATTTTCTGTTATTTCCTGGTCCTTCAAATGACCCCGTGCAACGGATTTCTGCAACCCTTTTTCATCTTTGTTGAGTATCTTTTTGCAGCTTCCAGCAATAATTTGTGTGTAATTTTTCTAAGTAAAATATTTTGATTTTTGCTTGTTCTCTAGCAACCAATATCAAGCGTTGCATAGCTAATTACTAACTTATACTACAGTCGCGCTATCTAAACAGTTAATATCGTGTGAAAATCATCATATCTCACAAGAATTATAACTATAGCATCGTTAATTAACGATAACGATACTGTTCCAGAAACGATGTGATCATTGTTATATTATCTTCGGGCAAATGTCAAGAGCTCGGGGAATCCGCGATGCCGACCGAGGACGGCTTCATGAATGCATTCAGCAGCATTTCAGTATTCTGGGTCCGCGCACTCGGCACCGAGGCATCGAGGCATCGAGGCATCGAGGTATCGAAGCGGCGAGGCATCGCCCCGTCTGCCGGTATCATGTTACATGTTACAATGGGTTTACGGACCGTAGAGCCACAATGAAATATAACAACGCACCATCCACATCCAATCCATCCACCGTCTCGCTCGAACGTATCGTCTTATTCGGCTCGCACCGCACCGCACCGCAACGCAACGCAACGCACACAGTCGCAGTGGCAGTCGCAGTCGCAGTCGCGTTGCTAGTCGCGAGGTCGCGACTCAATCGCGATCGCTATCGCGATACCTCTGCCGTTGTTGTTGTTGTTGTTACAGAAAATTCGAATCCTTTCGATAGATATTGTATATCTATTCACACGGCACTTTCTTCCATTTTCTTCGATTCCTTTCCAACATTTGTTTCCATCATCAATTGTAATTAGACGACTATCTGACCATTATAGTGGTTTATATATTTATTTAATTTATTTATAACCCCGTAAAACACGGTAATTCTATGACACGGATTCATTCTAACACAGTTCGAAAGTAGAGAATATCCCCCTTATAACACGATACTTTTGACTGAGCAAACTGAACTGAGCAAAACCCAAATATAAGTAAAACCTTTCAAAAGCGAACTTTATCTAATTTAAAATGAGCGAAATCACCGTACAACAGCTCAATAAACGTGATAAAACTTGTGCAAATGATACCTCATTTGACATATTTCATAGAGCCAGTACGTTCTATTGGATTAAAGAGCTAGACTAACCCGAACAGTCAATCATATTTCTTAAAAAAGCATTCTTTAAATTTTCAAAATTTAAAAGAAAAATTTGGGACTCAAATCTTAATCTTGCACTAATGTTTTGTTTCGTATAACATCGATTCCCACAAAACGATGTTTATTTTCAAACGGAACTCCTGTGTTATATTTGGAAGGATTTTATCAATGACAATGATATGACAATTATTTGTTAAGTCTGACATAAAATTAAATTCAGA